TTCTTAAATTTTCCCTCAAAGGGACCGGAGGTTTAATTTAGGGACTGAAAGTACAGTCGAGTTTGAAGCTATTTGCGCTTTTCGTTTATCAACCAATTAAAGCGAGTAGTTAGCGACGGCGATCAGATGCCAATCTAAGCGTGTCGTGGTGTAGCATCAATGCCGCGGGGTTACGGAGTATGCAACGAGATCGCTGTAATTAGCGTCCCCGGGGACGAATAAAATTAATGGAGTCGAGCAACTGGAGCATGTTTTTCGGATTCCCACGCGCTCACCCGGCGAATATTTCGCGATAATGATCACAGCGATAGAATTACATCTCGTGAGGTAACATCCGCGTGTGCAACGCACTAGATTGGAAGAGCCGGAAAAGCGGCAACGGGAGAAGACGCTGCCCCCTCGTCCGGGGAACAATAAGGAATCGATAAAAGTTAATGAGAACGCTTAGACCAGACCTCGGAATTCCAGCAATTATGTGGGGGACAAAGGTTATTCGAGACGCTTAATTTTCTCCGCCCCGGAACCCCCACCGACCGACGATCGGTCGCGCAACTTTTACGCGCTGCAGTCTCGTAATGTTTCGCGGGTATCATTAATCTCCAGGAGATCTCACGTATACGCGCAAACCTGTTGGACAACAATTTAATGAAGCTTGCTCCCCGCCGCGGTTATTCCGGTTTAATTCTACGTACACGGTAAAAAAAATCGTGCGTTTAAATGTTAAAATTTTCTGGCCTTACCAACATTTAATTATTGTTTCAATGCAAAATTGACATGAAACAAGTATGCTGTTATTTTCGTAATATTTTCACGTGTTATATTTATGTTAACGTAATAACCTGACACTTTATGTATGTCATTTAAAAATTGAATATTATTTTGAATTCATTTAACACAACTGTTTCACAAAATCAACCGAAACATGTAATATCGACATTTCTTAAAAATTGTTTTAACTATTCTAATTTGTAACGGTTTACGTATCCTGTCTGATTTTATTACGAGGGATATCCAGAAAGAAAGGATACATTTTTTTAAAATTCAAAAATGCATATATTTCAACGAAACTTACAGGTGTACTATTTTTCAACGTAGTCACCTCCAACTTCAATACATTTTGTCAGCCGTGAGACAAGTTTTTTTTTATACCAGTATCATAAAACTCTCGCGCCAACTTCATATATCACAGACGATTTCATGAAGAGTACGTGAAATTTCAGGACGCATTTCATGGAGATCGTCAATGATCGAACGGCGATCGGAAATAAGGCGTTCTTCAATTTTGTGCACAATTTCAAGGAATTCAACGACGGAAGGACGGATGTTGACGAAGGGAGAAGTGGACGACCGTCTGTTGTCTGATGAAATTGCGCACAAAATTGAAGAACACCTTATTTCCGATCGCCGTTCGATCATTGGCGATCTCCATGAAATGCGTCCTGAAATTTCACGTACTCTTATTCCTGAAATCGTCTGTGATATATGAAGTTGGCGCGAGAGTTTTATGATACTGGTATAAAAAAAAAACTCGTCTCACGGCTGACAAAATGTATTGAAGTTGAAGGTGACTGTGTTGAAAAATAGTCTACAACTGCATTAAAAACACCTGTAAGTTTCGTTAAAGTATGTGCCTTTTAAAATTTTAATTAACATCTAACTTCAATTAACATGTTAATTAATTAACATTTATAATTTGTAAAAATTAACACATGAATGTTATTTAGAAATTTAGATTGGACTTTTTGGGTCACGTGAGAAATGTTAATACTGATACTTAATTTTTTTACTGTGTACATTTTTCCCGAGGCGGGAAGAACCGCAGCGAGAGCGCGTTTTCGCGGCGTGCACGCGTGTTGCCGCGAAACCTGCACGATCGATATTTTTGCGCAAGATACTGGTAATACGCAGAATTTGTTTTGCGCGCCGGAAATTAAAATCTACAACCGCGGTGGTTTTTTTCTTTCTTCGCGAGCGTTCCGCGAAATCTCCCTCGAACGGTAAATGTTCCCTGCGTTTATTAGGCGAAAACGGAAATCGTAAACGTACTCGTAGGCGAATTCGCGTAAAATAAGCCGCTTTATACGCTGTTGATTCAATTGATTCAAGTTTTACAAGGTAAAGATCATTCTTTTCTTTTTGTCAGAAAAGAGGAAGGGAAATTGCAATAACGCTGCAACGGTGCACATACTCGAAAAGTGAAAAAGTTTTCGAGTATTGTAGCGATTCCGTTCACAATCGAAAGCTTTCAACAATATTGCAAAATAAAGCTCCTTTTATGCCCCTCCCCCCTCCATCCCCTCCCGATTGTCCCGTTAGTTTTTCACGGAGGGCCGAAAAATCGGCCGCGCGTGTTGAAAGCGCATTCAAGAAGTACACGCATGCACGAGATAACACGCGCATCGTAGATACGTGGATATATTTTAACCGGATTGATACGTGCCCAAGAGAACGTGCTGATCAATAGTTGTTACTCGGTTCAATGATGCAACTGGAGTGCATGTTCCGCGCGATGAAATGTTCCATATTATTAATAGACTGCTGATTGCATTGATGATAAAATGTCCGATACTGCGCGCTATATATTTGCGTCTACATTAGCAAATATAATTTCAATTGTCTATCTCGCGCTGCCACTATATTTCGGCGTGTTTCACTCCCAATATTGAAGAACGCGTCCGGTCTCAGCACTTATTGTTAGTTGCCGGAAACGTCTTTTTTACCCACTCGTACGATGCTCCGGTTGATCTCGCGAAGAATAAATGCGACGGATATGGCGTATTTTTTGCGGAAAAATATTTTTTCTTGTTAAACTTTTATGCTCCGCTTCGCGATTCTGATTGACGTTATTTATTTCATTTATTTGTCAACGAAATATAATGTCAATCAGAAAATATAATATCGATAATATTGTTAATATCGTGCTGTGCAAATTTGATATTTCGTCCTAAGGAAACTTTTATTACTCTCCGTTAGACTCCCGTCGACGAAGGAAATTAAGCGTGTGTCGGATATTAGATAGGAAACAATTACAAATCTGCGCGCAAGTGACTTTTCACAGAAGTAAGATAATTCCCTCTCTTTACGATTAGAGTCCCTTAGACATTTATTCGAGGGGAAAGATTTAAAAGAACGCCGAGGATGTGTTTTTGAAAGACTTTTGGAACATTAAGACGCATTATATTCATGAAATTTCATTTTTCATCCCTTTAAACATGCATCTGCAGTGCCCTACAAAAAGTAACGCAGACGTGCTTGTTGAGGAAAGCTGCGGATTTTAAACGTCAGTTGACGTCATCTTATCCCGTAAGCTGCAACTGCTGTAGGCGAGATCATTTGGTAGCGTTTTCGTCGTGTGCTTCAAGAATGCCTCTCGTTGACGGGCGACGTTATATTCGGCGGGTTGTCCGACGGGATAGCGGAAAAATTATGCATAAATCGCGTGCTTGCAGAAATTCTCCTGATAATCGTATTGTGAATCCGCGCACTATACTTGCTACGACATGCATCGCGACGCGGCAGTATTCGACATATTTGTATAAAAAATATTGACGAGAGAGCAATTTTATCAAATTCGAGTGCTCTATTACGGTGACTCTTTTTATTATTTTTTTTGCGTCAAGAGCGAAATTTGACAGGTTATGTCGCTAAAATCGTTAATCGTTACCGGGAAACGTATGATTTATTATTGACTCGTACTACTTGTTCCGCCTGGCGGCCTGAGCGAGAGTGCAAGAATCAATTATTAAAGATGTCGGGCATAACTGTGATCGCATTAGCGCTCTTATTAAGCGAAACAACGATGATTATTGTTAAAATATCATTGCTCTCGTACTGAAACGTGGGGGATTTGTGCGTGTTAAATGCATCTATTTCAAAGTTCATTAGCCACTCTTTGTCAAATTATTTTCCTACGAACGTGTAAAAAGCACGATCTAAAGTATCGAAACAGGAAAGCGTACGGAAAACGATCAATTTTCTAAATTTTAAGGGAAGCAAAGCTAAAGTGTCATAACAAACAAAGTGGTATAAATGGAAAGTATTTTCCTTTCGATATCATTTCATGCTCGAAGTATGAAGAATAGCTTATAGCAAAGATTTTTTCTAAAATATCTAAGATACTCCAGGAGAGACAAGGAGTGTGAAGCTTCGTATCCTGTCCGACTAAATACACCGAAAAGAAATTTTCGCTACCGTAGCTAATCGTGGTTTGCTAAAAATATTTGGCTGCCATGACTGTAAATTTCTAAACCGCAGCAAGCGGTTTGCTGTCGCACCCAATACAATAGGCACAGTAGCAAAATATTTAGCTATCGCACACGGAGAGGCCGATATGGTTACCACACGTCTGATTAGGGTTGGCACAGCCCCAATAAATACACGGAAAGACCGGCTGAGGCAAAAATAACTAAAATAAAAATGTTGCCGTATAAATAGTGGGGGCATCTACATTGTTTTGTGTTGCAACATTCACTAAGTTTGCTGCACAAAACGCATATAGTTGCCTCCACTACTTGCCATACCAATGTGCGTATGACAACCACAGATATAGCCGTCCCAAATATTACTATTTGTTGGGGTTGTGTCAACCCTAATTAGACACGTGGTAACCATATTGGTCTCTGCGTGTAGTAATATTTGGGACAGCTATATCTGTGGTTGTTATACCCACGTTGGTATGATAAGTAGTGGAGACAACTATATGCGTTTGGTGCAGCAAACTTAGTGCATGTTGCAAGACAAAACAATGGAAATGCCCCTACTTTATACGACAACACTTTAATTTTAGCTATTTTTGCCTTAGCCGGTCTTTCCGTGCAGCTAAATATTAGTCCGTATTTTACAATTGAAATTTAGTCACCACATGCAGGTTCTAGGTACGGCATTTTTCTTTCCGCGTACACACGGAAATTGGCGCGCGTAGACAATTTCTTTACCACTCGTTTTCACCTGTGACCTTCGCACCAATTTCGCAAGTGTTGGAGACTAGTCGCGATACTCACCATGGTGTAAACAGCACAGGCGTAGCTGCCTCTGCGTAAGGACTGGCCGCAGCAGGAATGCATGATAGCCATGCTGCGAGCACATGGGTGTTCTCTCGCGAAATTCGAAAGCGGTGGCCGCCCGCGAGTCGCGGGACGCGAAAAATTCTCGCCCGGCGGCGCGTTCGTACGCAGTTTCTTACGTTGCGGTCGATCAAAAGTCGTATACGGGGAGCATCGTCGCGCCGCGGTCAGGCCTGGACGTGAAATCGGGGTCAGGAGCAACGAAATCGCGCGAGAACGGCTCGGCGCCGACTGTCGGTGCGTTCCTCTCTCGCAAAATTCCCTCCTCTGGAGTTATCTCGCCGCGCAAAAAGCCCACCGGCGGCGACGCCTGCGCAATTGTCTGTAATAACCCATCGCCTACGTGTGTATGTGCGTGCGTGTATAATTTTCTTTTTATATATACATATATATGTGCACACACAGAGCACTTTTGTTACCGCGAGTACGATCCGTTGACACGTATTGTATTACCAGAAGAAAAGCGCAAAATCGAATCGGAAAAGTGAGATTTCTTACTCGGGATACGTGGGCGGGATGTTTGTTTCCCCTCTCGGCTAATAATGGAAAAACTTTCTCGCGTGACAAGGTTTGCGTAACAAGGGCGATCTAAGAGTTTTATAATTATTTTAACTAGTATCGCCGTATCAATTTTATGTAATTTCAACGAGACGCACTCGCGTTGCCGCAAGTCACAGTCGTTTCGCTCTTTACGGACATTGAATAAAAGGGGGATTTGTTTTGAAATTATTCTGAAAAGCATCGCTTCGTGTGACGCCATTCGAATACACACGCGTGCTAACATATGTATTCTTAATCGCGCTTCAAAACGTGTTATTTTTAATCGTGCTTCAAGTGCGATTTTCACGATTAACGCGCATTACGTGTGTAACAAGTGATGTGACATTTAAAATTCTCACACCATCGCAAAGTTTACAACAATTGCCGGTAGTTTCGACTTTGTCGAACTAAAATAACTTCGTTGAAGTGATTCGCTGATGTTACGAGGTCGAGAGACGAGCATCGATCTTTATGGCGCACGGTTTGTTTGCCCGGTTATTATTTTACGGCCAATGCTTCGTTATCTTACCACAGTGAGGGCTCCGGCAGAATGGCTGATTCATAATTTTGAGACAATATTTGTAAAATATTTGTATTATTAGCAGTCGCGTACAGTAGAATCGGGGTAAACCGCTGATCAAAATTACGTACACCAATGCCTACTAATCCCCAGTGGGCATTACTCTATCTTATTATTTTATTTTATCTTATTTTATTTTTATAATGTCCCAACGAGGCTTAATGTCCAATTAAATAACGGCTTAGTGACGCCAGTCAAGAAGTATGGAAACGACCTTACTGGCAATTCTTTATTAAAATAAAACACGTTTCGGCCAGTAATACTGGTCCTGTTCAGGTAACAAACTTACAAGAGTACCCACAAATGTAAGATTCGTCAGATTAGAGATGTGAAAATTCAGTAAACAGATTCGGTTTTCTAACGTTGACGACTAGACACATTGTACGACGAAATTTCTGACTTCTAACTTAATTTTCACATCTCTAATCTGACGAATTGGCATTAGCATTACCTATTGTTAGATCTTAGGTCTTTCCTTCACTGGTCGGATCGATCTTGGGTAACGCTAATGCCGGCGGTACTGTAACTTCCAAGCCTCATAACTCAAAGAATACCGAATGAAAAAGCACTTTATTACAGTGTTTTAAAAAGCTCTCGAGATAAACTACAAGAATATGCCAGCAAAAATAGGGGGTTTTATTAAAAAAAAACACAAAGTTGAACTCCATATGATCTTGGGACGTTCATGACACCATCTCATGTCCTCCTTCGAACCAACCAACTTGCGTCTGAAACGTTTTTCAATATCTCTCATATTTTTCGAGATATTTGCCTGGTGCGATTAAAATGAAACACTGTATACGAGTACATAGACCAAGCATTCCGGCTTCACCTGCTCCATAGAAAGCATAGGAACGCTTGGTCTATGTATATATGTCGTTGGTTTATGTACATACGTTTATTCCTTGCAAACATTGTCTTCGTACGCACATTTAAGACTTGAGACGTAGCACAATACATAATATCGTGCATTACTTGTGCAAAAAACATTGATCGGTATTGATATTCAGATATTTAAGACCGTCGTTTATCTTAAGAGACGCTGTATGGGACATTTTATTGGCTACAGAGTCTCTAAAGATCCTAAGACGATCTTAAATATACATGTCTGATATAATCGCGATTCGTTGCAACAATAACAACTGTTAATAGAATCCGAATAAATCGTGCGATGCAGCGATAATTGGGCGACAGTGGAATAAAACTTTAATTAATCTTTCCAAATTAGCTCTCGCTAGCCTGTGTTTAAATCGAGTTTACTATGAATACCATCCATTGTCTTGAAATTACAAGTCAACGTTTCTGCCAAGGCCCTAAAATTCCGTCGACTCGCCGCCCCTTTTGATCGGAGATGCAACCTTGCTTTCACGTTTCTGTTATCAGGCATTTCTTCGCGATGTATCGTCCATGCATAATATTTTTTCACAGAGGCAAAGTTACACGTTCCATCTATTGTTCTCATTGTTCTCGTTTTGAATTCGCATTTCAACTTTTAACTCGCACATTTTAATTGCATTAAAGAGTTTTTGCATTCAACCTTTCATTGAAAACTAATTGAACCTTGAGGAAAGCATTTAATGAAGCTTATTGGACGCGATATTTAAATTCTACGACTATATAATAAACAAATTGTCATCGGATTTAACGCTTTTTATTGTGGATTAATTTTTTTCATCTGATATTTTTTGCACATATTTTCGCACACTCCATGAATTTTTTTCAATATTTTATTTGTGCACGAGCACAAAGCAAACTCGATTTGAACACAGGCTAGCGTGAGCTAGTTTGGAAAGATTAATTGAAGTTTTATTCCACTGTCGCCCAATTATCGCTGCATCGCATGATTTATTAGAATTCTATTAATAGTTGTTATTGTTGCAATCGCGATGATATATTTACCCCTCCAGACCGTCTACTCTTCTTTAGACGTCGTTTTAAACGTTTATTATTATTTTAATACGATTTCTACTAACATCTGCCCGTGTGGAAATACATACATACACACGTACGTCCGTATCGCCGTACGTTTAATTAAAATGACCTCATGTTATAAACGATTGCAGAAATGAGAATAACAAAATCTCCATAACACGAGGTCGGTACAAAGCCCGATATTATTTTTAATTATGCATATATTAATTGCGCGCTGCGCCACTGTGTAGCAACTCGTAAATTCGTTCAATTTTATACCTGATTGGGGGATTTATACGAGCGAAATTGTAAATTGCCGCGGGGTGTATGACGCAAAACACAATCTTTGAAACTTTCCGAAATCGGAGAGGAGGAAAATTTGTCCGTCGAAATCTCGGGAATTATGCCCGGGTTCTCCCGAAGACGTGGATAGAATTACGAAGTCGGCGAAGGATGTAATTTCGCGTAGGCGGAATTCGATATTTGTTTGACGCAGAATCTAATGAATAAACAAGATGTAGATGTGTCGGTGCATAAACTTTCTCTCCCCGCCGGTTGCTCCATCGTCCCATCTTTCTCTTCGCGCGACGCGTACGTACGTCTTTCGGTACCGGGGCTGTAATAAGGTATCGAGAGCAACTTTACGACGGTAACTTCCACATAGATCATAGATTGCATTGCGCGAAAAGTACCGGGATGGTAGGCGCGCCCCGGTAAACGGATTAAAACTTGTATAATGAAGTCGGAGTGCCGGCGAACTATTTCGTTCTCGGTACCAGAAGAAGTTGTGCTTTTTCATGCTCGGTAGATGCTCCAAAGATAGGAAATCGATACGTTGTTTTATTTGCGAGGAGCGGGCGAAATGGGGCTTGCACACACGGAAGGGATTCCGGAAAAGAGCGCGGAGGAAGGGCCGCGAAATCGCGCGGTTTCACTTGGCCAAATTGGAAACGTTACGAAATCGTATCGATTATCCGCGATTATCTCGCCCGACCATTTCCGAGTGAATTTTTATGAACGCTTTATCGATCCGCGTCCGGATATAGCCTCTCTGGATTCTGAATTATGCCGGCACTACGCAACAGAGAGATTGCGATAGATGGGAATCCGCGGTACGTAAAACTGAAACTGACGTTTTTACACATCAAAGGCAACATCCGTGCCTTGTCGCGGCAATTTAGAGGCGTTTGAACACAAAGTCGGGAAATTATGGATAACGAGCGAGTTAATTGCAATCTATAATATCGATCGCGCGCGTGTGTGTGTGTATGTACCCAAACGTGCCAAAGTGTGATCAAAGCCGTGTTTATTGCGTTACCGACTCGAGATTTTTCATTATTTTGAATGTGCGTCCGTGTGAAAATTGTTATAATCTTATAACTTTATCAAATCATAGACGAAATAGCAATTTTAACGGCAAGATTAAGTCAAGAGATGCGGGAATTAACAATTTAAAAAGACTTCCAGCAGCGCCACAAATATTCTGAGATACTTGTAAAAGAGATGCTTTTTCTGCGTCATTACGCGAGTTTCCCTAGAGGCGTAACTGTTTCTCCAAGAAAAGGAATATTACACGACCAATTTTATGTCTGCATGTTAAAAATATCAAAATATATATGTAGCATGTATCTTTTAATATATAATATTTACGTTATTATAAACTACATACAGCTATGAAATTTGCATACGTGCAATATTTTATTATCCTTGTTTTACTTGCTAAGAATACGAGATGGAACGAAAATATGAGACACAGAGGTTGTATTTTCGCGATTTTGTTTTTCTTCAGAGACACATAAAAATTCTGAGCGTACGATATTTCTGCGTCGTTCACCTGTACATAGACAGGCAGGAGTGCCTGGATATTTCTGTAATGTATTCTATAATTTACGCAATTCACGTATACAGGGTGTTCAAAAGAGGAAACCCCTGCATATCCCCGAAAATATGCAAGATAGAAAAAAATTTTTCAGAGTTGCAGCATTTTTAATTGCAGTATTGTAACATACACAAAATTTACATACACAACGATTTTCAATAATTGGAGCATTATTGCAACAGCATTTTCCCGAGATCAAATCAAGTAAAAAAAGTCCTGTACTACTTTTCGCTCCGACAAAACAGTTATCGAGATATCATAGGCTAAATATTGAAAAAGTTATAAATTTTCTCTTGAATATCTGAAAAAGTATTAGGCAAATAATAAAATGTTTCAGACGAAAATTGTTCATATTGATTAGTAGAATAA